TAGATGTTTGGTATCTTCATTGAAACAGACTGAATCTAGATGTTTGGTATCTTCATTGAAACAGACTGAATCTAGATGTTTGGTATCTTCATTGAAACAGACTGAATCTAGATGTTTGGTATCTTCTCTTGAAACAAACTGATTTGTAGGTTTTTCAGTTTATCTCCCATAAAATTGATTATATGTGAGATATTTGTCTGAATAGAATATTTTTTATAACTTTAGACATTGTTTATAGTATGAATTGCTTTGTATGAATCCACAGAATTGTTATTTTATATCGGTTTACAGATTCAAGGAAGTTACTTACTCTCCTAAACAAGACAAACACAGACAGACCATTGTTATCAGAGACACTCCGAGCCCTGCAGCTAGTGTGGTGATCTTGAGTTCAGATTCTGAAGAAGAAAGGGAAAGTCCAACTTGGTAAGAAAAAGTGTCACATGTGGTAAATTTTAATATATAGGAGTGAATTTTTATTAAACTTTCCAAATATTTTTGATTAAAATTCTCAAAAGCTAAAGTGTAATTATATCTACTCCAGATAAGTAATTAAATAAGCTGAATCTGGAGTAGATATAATTACACTAAGTGTAATTAAATAAGCTAAAGTGTAATTATATCTACTCCAGATAAGTGTAATTAAATAAGCTAAAGTGTAATTATATCTACTCCAGATAAGTGTAATTAAATAAGCTAAATCTGGAGTAGATATAATTACACCAAGTGGCTTTCTTAAGAAAATGTTAATTCAATAATTTGTAATATGTCACAGATTCTACGTTAACAAGACTGTTTGGAAATTTTAATCATGATGTTCTATGTGTAAGTGTAACAGCGGTAAACGTTGTTAACTTTGCTAATCCTAAATGCTTTATGTCTTCACTGTTTTTGATTATAAATAAAGTACAGGTATTCATTAGTTTTTTAGTTCTTGAATCAACTGAAGGAGTTGTGAAGTTAGTGGTGGCTTACAGAATACAGAAAGTAAATAAATCTTATTGACTTCAACGTGTGATAACTCGCCAAGTTTTTTATATTTTTATTTAAAGAAGGATGGTGTTTCGAGCTAGCACTCTTCGTCATCCTTCTTTAAATAAAAATATAAAAAAATTTGTTCAACCTATTATTTAATTTTTAATATCTTTGTCACCTATGTGGTTTTTAACTGTGTGTTTCAATGTGTGATACAATCTGTTATAGTAGCTTGTATATTTTCAGTTGTACAAACAAACATCTGGTCCAGAATAGAGGTCGTTCTGTTACGGTCAAGGATCCCGCTAACAAGGCATCATCGATGTTAGGTTGCTTAGCAGGCACAACTTGTGCAAGTGTACTTCCTTTAACACCAGAATCTGAAGCTGGAACCTACAGTATGCAGTCCACACCAAGACAAGGTAAAACACTGGAAACAGAAGTGCTAATGTAAATATATATATGTTTTAAAATGGGTGTCAAGACATTACAAGGCTCTTAAATGTGCAACTGCATTAGTGTGAGATTCTGATACCTTGTGATTTACATAATGCAGTGCACTGGTCACTCTTTGACACTGGTATTGTAGTAATTGAATCTTGCAGGGAAAGTAACGTAGGATGTATCTAACCACTGGGCCGTGCTGAGCCCAAGAAAACAAGCCTCACATACAGATATTGGTTTAGTACAAACATTAAACTCAAAAGGCATCCTCAGACGGAGCCAACGGGTAATAGTATTATGTTCTCCAATGTTGTTTTCTCACTGGATTTAAATGAACTGAGCAGAGGACTAACAATAGAAATGATAAAAATCTGTCAAATGACAGGTGATTCTCATCCCTGTTCACAAGTTTGAGTATTTTTATATACCTTAGTAAATATTCTGAAAGTAAGCTTCCTAATTCACAGAATAATATTCTACAACAACTTTAATAACAAACTTACGTGTCTCTGTCTTTCTGTGGCTCTGGCTTGATTATTTTCAAGACATCATTTGACGTGAAATTTGGTAAAGGTCGAATTGGACTGTAATGACCTTCCGAATCAGAGTCTGGCACTGTAACACAGCTAACTACATTTTTTCTTGTGCTATAACTTCCATTTCCTTGAAGTTTGTTCAGCAGAGAAAGATGGGCTTTAAAGAAAACACAAGTCAGGAATGTTTTACTTATTTATCCAACTCTGATTTTACATAAATAGTTTATTCGGAAAAATTGTATATGGTGTATTTTTCAGATTAAAGCAAGAACAAAAACCTTTTAAAATATCTCTAGGAATACAATATGTTAATTTCAAATATATAAATAAAATCATACAGCTGATCTATAAAGGTCACAGAGGTTATTTATAAACTTGTTATCTGTCAAGAATCTATAATCTGCTACTATCTTGTTCCGCCAAGTTTGAAAAATTCTTGTTTAGTCTTATTGATTTAAAAAGTATTTTTTAAAATAATAAAAATAATAATCCAAACCAGAGAGCAAGATTAACCTTTGTTATTTTTGTTTCTGTACAATACAAGTATTGGACTCTAGTTCACATTCAAACTTGAAGTCAAACGGAAATACTGAATTGGACTCAAAAGCAAAATATTTTAAGTACATTTAGATGTAACATTTCCATTTGAAGTATATTTACCCTTAAAAAAGGTGTACTTTAATAAACTTGTGATGAAAACTGATTTGTTTAATTATTGCACTTAACTAACTGGAAGCACAGAACAAATTGTGAAATAAGGAGTATAAGTAATGACACACTGGTCAAGCGTGTCTGAGATTCCATGGTTTGTTTCTCGTTTCTGCACTTTGGGTGCATGATAAGAGTGACAGTCACTTGCCATTAATTAGTGTGACAAGAGTAGTCCAAGAGATGGTATTAACAAGCTGGATCCCCTCTAGTCTGTCACTTCAAAATGAGTGACAGTTACTGCAGATAATCCTCACGTAGCCTAGTTTAAGATCGGACAAGCAAATAAACATTTTAGCAGGATTATTAACATCCGACTAATCACAAAACAGGATTATTAACATCTGACTAATCACAAAACAGGATTATGAACATCCGACTAATCACAAAACAGGATTATGAACATCTGACTAATCACAAAACAGGATTATTAACATCTGACTAATCACAAAACAGGATTATTAACATCCGACTAATCACAAAACAGGATTATTAACATCCGACTAATCACAAAACAGGATTATTAACATCTGACTAATCACAAAACAGGATTATGAACATCCGACTAATCACAAATCAGGATTATTAACATCCAACTAATCACAAAACAGGATTATTAACATCTGACTAATCACAAATCAGGATTATTAACATCTGACTAATCACAAAACAGGATTATGAACATCCGACTAATCACAAAACAGGATTATTAACATCTGACTAATCACAAAACAGGATTATTAACATCCGATTAATCACAAAACAGGATTATGAACATCCGACTAATCACAAAACAGGATTATTAACATCCGACTAATCACAAAACAGGATTATTAACATCCGTCATAGTGATGTTATAGGTTTTAAATGTTTCACCATCCATCCATTTAAAACCTATAACATCACTATATGATGGATGGTGAAACAAACATTTAAAACCTATAACATCACTATGATGGATGGTGAAACATTTAAAACCTATAACATCACTACAAAAATAATATGTTAATAAAGAAAAATGTCTCTTTTATGTAATTCTAAGTTATTGTGCAAAACAATACATCACTATGATGGATGGTGGGGGTTCTTAAAGATTAACTTATTTTGAAGACACTGTTTATCAGATTTATTTGGTATGTATAACAT